GATCGAGTTTTTCCGCTCCTCAAACAGATATATTAAATCATAACTCGTTTTAATCCGGGGAGACAAATTTATATACATGCGAAATATAAATTCCGGATTTCGTTTTACGTCAGCCACGCTTGAGGATTTGCGAACTCAACCCTCCTTTTTCAATCTAATTTGGCCATAATTCGCGTGCCCTTTCCCTTATTGTAAAAATCGTAATCGTCAGTCACCGCAAGCACCTGCTTCGAAATACCCCTTGTAAATATCACCGGTCGCACATTCCGAAGAATGTCAGCCGTAAAATTCCTCGAAATTAGCAACACTTTAACAAAGTCAATTCGAAAGGTCAAAACGTTAGGGAGAATGACCCGTGTCGATTAGTTTTTATTTATATCGGGTGGAATTTTAATTTCGTCCCGAAAGATGGGGCTAATGAGGCGCCCGGGCGATGATTAATTTAATAGCCGTTGTTCCGGCTTCCTTTTTTCGAGCGTCGTGATTGTCGTGTTGCGGTTTAATCGGGCGAGAGCGGCGAAAATCGCATCACCGGATTACTCCGGGTAACGGATATGGGTTCAATAGGCCCATCACTCGGCTATCGGACACTGTCCATTCGGTCTCGGCTCGGCACCGACCCATTACTCTTAATTTCGTTCGCGAAGGGAGCTAATTCGATTGGCGGGGTCCCCGGACTAATAATACCGGCAGAATATTATTAGTTCCGGGCCGGTTCTTTCGCACCTAAGGGTCCCCGAGCTTATTCATTCGATATAAAATAAGAATAATATCGACGCGGCGGATGGGGGACGTAAAATATTTACAGCTGATATAAAACGGTCCCGGATGGGAATTTGAAATGCATCAGGGGGCCGCGCAGTCCGCATGGGCTCGTAAATACCGCGACGTGTGGCTTTACCGAAATTGTTTATTATACGGGGCGCCGCAACGACTTGAATAGTTGGCATACATGTGGGAGGCCATTCGAGGGAAGTGGTCGCTCAATTTAATTACGAACTTCTTTAAGTTAAAAGGACGAAAACCGGCTAAATTAGTCTGCACTTCATGAATATTTACGCAGCTTGAGATGTCTACTGAATAATATACAAATTTGTCCTAGGAGAGTTCAGCGCCAAATAAAATAAAAAATTTTCTTACTTAGTTTCGTAACGACCGCCACAATACTCCCCGCTTAAAAGTGAATCAAGAATGTGTGGCATTTAGATTGCGCGACTTTAACGCTCGTAACTAAATTACAAAGTATATTTAACGCGGAAAACACGCACTGCGCGCAAAATAAAACCCTAATTCTGTTTGTGTGCTCATTTGTACTAGTAGTTTTCTTAATGCACTCCACTATTAGATTTCTTATCCGGAAATGGTTTAGACTAAGTGGGAACCGAAACTTCTACTGTATTAACTCCGGGTCCAAAGTTCTTTGATGTCTTTTTTGTTTTCTGTTTTCGAGGCCTGTCGAAACTTCAGATTGACGGACTTTGTGTTCTTTGACAATTAAACCGGAGACATTACGGTCACGAAACATCCGAAATTTGCAAACATCTCGGATTCTTGACACCGCGCTGATACGTAATCAATAAAATCAATTCTTTCACCGGCAATAAATTTCCGGTTTCAATTTACAAGGAAACAAAGGATTTCGGCGGCATTATTTTATTAGAATCGACAAAACTCAGAGTGACATTTCGTAAATTGCGTAGAAATAACTCAGTCGGAGAAGGCAACAAATTGCATTTTTTATATCCCACCGACTGCGCCAGTCGAGCTACTTTTTTCAAAAATAAGTCCGTAGCGCTCCTTCAAATCCCAGTTTACTGAGTGCAACATTGAATTGCATTTACAAAGCTTTGAAATAAGTAATTTTTAGGTTACCACGAACTCGTTCAACCACAACTTTGTTCATATAATTTTAACGTACTCGTCAAAGCGTCGACATGTTTAATGCACAAATTTGAACACAATCAGAGTTTAGTAATTAATAATGTAGTTTACTGTGTTCACGGAAGGCACACAATAGGCAATTGTTTGAATCGATCCTTTTGAAAAAATCGCACTCTTCAAATCCAACTTTTCCGATGCACCGTCTTGCCCCGTTTGCGCAACTTCAAAGCCGCGCTCGCAAACAAATCCTCATCAAAGTGGCCTCAGCGCCATTTCGGCCCCGTCAAAAGAGCCGAAGTCGAGGTGGAAGCCGCCAATCTCTCCAAATTGAAACGTCAAAAACTATCGCGTCGGATTGCAATATTGGGCGAACTCCGGTCTGCATAAGTCGCCCGTAATCAATTTAGTTGCAAGTCGAACCGCAGGATTTGCCCCCGCCTCGATCGCTTCACAGCCATTAACCCTAATCGGTAATCGCATAAGCGGCTCTATCTTAACACGATCGCCCCCGTCTGCTCGCAGCACGTGAAATTAAAAAATTTAACTTTTCGAATCCATCATTGTCGCGACGAAATCGGCCACCCTCGACACGTGCCACCCGTAATCGAGGATCAATCCTAATTAATTGAGGTGCGTTTCTGCGCTCGCTGGCGAAATTGAACTGAGATGCTTATTTATGGACTTTGGAACGGAGGGTTTTGTGTTGATATCGATTCGGAGTCGGGGGAAATTGTGCCGGGGTGTGTGATTTTGTGATTTATAATTATTGTGATTTATTTTAATTTGTTGTGGGGTCAGGAGCGATGAAAACGATTTGCCGGCGGGAGGTTTATGCGATTTTTATTTTAATGGGGATTATCTGAATTTACGCTGATTAGTTCTTTTCAGGATATCGGAATAATTAAATTTTAGTCTGTTCATGATTTGCTAACTAATTGGGTAATTTTAGCGTGCCCCGGATCCATTATCATATCGACTTCATTATAATACGGCGAGACATAACTCACATCGGTGCTAATTAAAGAGTCCAACTTCGGGCCATCACAACACTCCCCGCTTAAAAGTAAATCTAGGTCACTGACAAGGCCGTCTTGAGAAATATTTTTGCTTTTTGCATGGTCGGCTGGCTACAGCTTTCCTCGTCCATAAACACCCGTTCCCTTTTAATTTATGTGTCCGCTTGTGCAAGTTTTTCCCAATTTTAATTTTTAACGGCACGAAGCGTGTCCACCGGCCATAAATAATAAAGAAACAATTAAGTAGGCGGCGGTATCGAGCTCGCGGCAGCAGCGCCTCGACGTGTCATATCTTCCTAACTTCATATCGTCTCCGAACAGCCCTGTTTATACACACCCGACTTCGCAACATATCGATATGATGGAAAGCATTTCAATAAGTGCCAAACTGTACATGACGAAGTCGACGCGGCACTACATCACACCTCCAGAAAAGCGGAAAAACTCCAAAAGGCCGACGTAATTTATCTCCGGATTTTCATAAATCTAAACGGATTCGAATGAGCTATTAAGCATTGAGGAGGTTAACCAAATATAAATTCGCTTTGATTGAATCGGAGACAATGAATGGGATAAAGCCCCATTATTGAGCCAAACTACGAGAAACAGAAGTAAAGAACGAAATTGGGGAATTATAAAGGATAGTGAAATTTCGCGAACAATGAGGTTCATGACCGGATTATGGCGGATCGAAGGTTTTTTTTAAATATGGCGCCATCAGCTTCCCGCAACGCCATCTAATCTAAGGAGTCATTAATCATGTCGAACACGCTTCTTTGCAGGGTCAAAAATAAGAAACATGGTTGGCACTTTATTAAATTAGGCTGGAGCGCTCTAAAGGGTTTCAACGTTTTAATTTGGACCCAGAATGGAAGCGACATGACATGATTTCTTTTCGCCAAGACTGTGTGAAGCATTTTCTTTACAACGAAAGAGGGGTTTGTCGGGTACAAAACGCTACCGTGTTGCGAGCTCTCACCCGTTTTATTTTCGCTCAGGACTCTTTTGTGAACTCCGAGTTTCCACAATTTCATACGAATTTTCAACTAGTTATTTGACGCTCGAACTTCACAGATATTAAAGTAATGAAATGTGTCACATGTCGTGTGGTCATCCTTATTCATGTGAATGCGCACACGAAGAAACCGAGCAGATATTTTCGTGATTAATTAGCCCCGGAATAATTAGTCCGACGAAGTACTTTATTATTCTTGCAGCGGAAAGCTAATTAAAATTCATGATATGTAAAGTAAATGGTAGAAAGCTTAGACAGATGACTTTACGAGGAGAAAAAGTTTAACAAAAATCGAGCGAAACCTGAACTAAGTTTAAAACACCTTAGAACGAAAACAGAAAAGTAAAGTTTGGTGCAGCAGGCGGGACTTTCGCAAAATTAAATATCAGAACCTATCGACAAAAAAAACCTTGATTGGATAAGGCCGCATGCATAAAACAGCAACTGTCGCCTACATTTGCTATTTCTGCAAATGACGTCGTGTAAAATCTCTAAGAAAAAGGAAAGAAAAGTGAAACGGCTGTCGACACTAAGCAGATTACTGAAATGGAACGAACTGACGAACTAATAACATCTGATGAAAGCAAGCAAATGAAATCAGATAAATAAATTTGGTTAATGCTGCTACTGTTTCCGCGTCGCATTGTAGCGATGAGCATCAAATACCCAAATCATCTGTCGCTTCGACTCCGCAACCAATTTCTTTATTATTTATAGCGCACGAGTTTACGGTTGACACCGTTTTTAAAAATGCAAATTCAATCTGCGACACAGCCACCAGCTGATCTAATAAATTCGCTTTAATCCCCTTTTCCCATTAACACCCTGTTTTAAGCGCCGAAACCTGCTTTTTTGAATAGTTCGCCGGCGACTAATTGCTCTTTCGGAAAGCACGGTCGTGAAGGGTAAATACGCAGATGTAATTTAAACGACTCCGGCATGCTACTCGACAATATACAGTCCAAACAGGCCGTAATAAATAAGTAACTGAATAGTAAAGTCCGGGTGCCATTTACTTTTTAGCGGGGAGTGTTGTGACGGTCGATCTAAACCAATGAGAGTGATTAATATGTTGTTGTTTGTTTCAGTGACCAAGTTCATCCGGATTGGAATCGCCGACAAAAATGATAATCCGCCCTACTTCGACAAGGCCCTCTACGAGGCGGAAGTGGACGAGAATGAAGACATCCAACACACCGTCCTCACCGTCACCGCCAAAGATCACGATGAATGTAAGTGCACTTCTACACTACTTAGTATTTTTATGGCGGCTGTAAACCGTTGTTCTAGCGTAAATTTTTAGTCAAGAGTAAACCGTTATTTAAGTTAAGATGTTTCCAAGTAGTGCTTAAAAGCGCTAGATCATGTGTTGCTCCCCCTAGCTTGAAAAGAATCTTAAGAACTTTAAATTCTGAGTGAAAGAGGATTTCGTTCGGGGCTGCGAGAGCAGCGCCGGAAATTTATGCCTCTTAATCCGTTTTAATAGGGCGTGATGATATATTGTGTTATGAAAAATGGCGGAGGAACGATAAAGATGAAAATTGAAGTCAAGGTATCGCTAAATTTCCAGATCTGGACTGAGAACCAGAGCGACATGAATCATCGATAAGAATCATTATTGAAATAAATTTTATACAGCCGTTTTCGAGATAAGGTTGTTTGATCTTACGAATTCGGAAAATTGTTTCCGAGCTACGCCGATTCGGGAATTTAAATGTCGCCATATCTAGATTGGATTTTTTGCAAAAGATGTTTTATGAGCCTTTTACGGAAAATGTAATAAAGGGCCATTTTTTCCTTTTAATAATAAAATAGGAAGCGGCTTTTCGTGCAAGTTTTACGCTGTTATAACTTAAAGTTTGGACGGAACTCCCGAAACAATTTTATTAGAAATTTGGTGAAAAGTTGCGCGGGATATTCCCCAGACGGGCGACTCGCGTCCATTTTGATCCGCCGCGAACACCCATCGATCAATTTGAAGATGTTGCGGAGTTCCTCGAGTGTGATTACTAGAGAGCGGATTTTATGAAATTTGCATATCAGTTATTTTTTGCATATAAGTCTTGATATTTAATATGTGAACGAATCATGCTAATTAAAAATGAATACAGCTATAAAAAAATTGCATATTTCACGTAACCGGTGCATATTTTGCATTTTTATCCATTTTTGTGGTAATTTGAAAAAAAAAAGATTATCATTCTATCGGCATTTATTGTAGTCCCAGTTTAAAGCGGTTTTTATGACAAGATAATTAACATTATCACTTCGTTATTACCCCACCACGGACAATATTAAATAATAAAGTACGGCCTTGCAAAGAAACCGACCACGTTCTTATTTATGGCTAGGGAATGACTTCATTGTCCCCATCGTCAACTTCGACACAATGGACCTATCATAAAAACCACTTTAAACTGGGAAGACTATATCTAGAAAGTCAAAATTTCATTCATCATATAGCAAATATTTTCCTGAGCTTCAAATAACTAGGAAAGGTTTGGGTTTTATGGTAGTTTGGAGAAACCACTGGGTGTTAAACCATCCAGCAGGTAAATTCGCGCTCTAATTCCTTTTGGAAATAAGGCCTGTCCCAGAAACTTTTGCACATATTTTGTTTTTGAATAAAATAAGAACGTCTCAACAAATCGAATCAAATTTATTTACAGTATATTATAACAGCAGTAAAATTATGAATTTCTTAATTACTTGTTTAAAATTAACGGCTTACGGGAAAATAATCTCACTTTAGATCTAATGCGACGCATTATTTTTTGCAAATTTGCGCTAGAAACTTTTTCACTTCCCATCATCCACAATTTTTTGAAGAATTCAAAATTTTTGGCGCATTTTCCTTCTTCCCTTAACTAGAACCCAATATCTTTCAACAAACCGGAGTTCAGGTAAGTTTGAGGGGTTGTTTTCATTGTCTGGATATTGCACTCTAATCTGCGCAAACCAATTCTTCGCTAATTGTGAGTAATGCAAAGTAGCTAGGTCTGGCAAAAAGAAAGTAGAACCAGGGTGAGCTCTTAAAAAAGATAGTAATCGAGCTTGAAGGCATTTTTGGACACAAAAATCAGTGTTGGTGCTGCTTTCAACAAAAAAATCCTGTTTCTCTTGCCACATTGGCAAATTGCTTGCCAAACAAGAACTTTGCGGCCAAATTTTTGCAAAAAAATTTATTTTTCTTTGTCTCTGACATCTATCAATGGTCCGTTTTACCGTCCACTGCGTCGCATTAGCCTCTTTCACTATTACATTTAAAGATTTTTGACAATGCTCGGACCAAATTTACAAAATTCGTTGTCTTACACTAACTCTTTTTGACGACATTTTGAGAGCCGACTGATTAAAATAAAAAAACTAATGACAGATGTGTAGACCATGGCCTACTGTAGCATATTTTACTTAATTCAAATGTCAATTAAACAACTTTAATAGCAGAATTTAAATATGGTGCAAAACTTTCTGGGACAAGCCTTACGTTCATTCCCAATATTTTTGTTCGTTACTTCAGTGTATTAATGACTAGCTAGTATCTGCTAAGATAAAACTGATTTTGGCAAATGGGATACTCTCTAAGAAAAGAGAGGGTGGGTGGGCGGGGCTAGTAGCTGCCAAGATAATACTGATTTTGGCAAATGACCTATCCCCTAAGAAATTATTTTAAGAAAAGATACTAGAGGTTCCAAAGCACTTTCAGTTTTTTTCCAAACTGGAATATCTAGAAACGCAAAAATGTTTTAAGTTTTTCAAAAAAAAAATAGAAAACACCAAAATCCCCCAAAGTTGTTTTAAATAATTTACAAAAAAAATTTCCAGGAGATCCCAAAATAATACACCATGAGTACCCAAGAGTCTTCCCTATTAAAAAAAAAACACTGTGGCACTCGAGACTTTCAGTTTTAATACTAGTTATTATGATAATGAATGTGTTGTTTAGTTGTTAAACGTAGCAAAAGAACCAATTTTAAAATCTTTGTAACTCCAGCAAAGTGTGAGAAGGAATTTTTTACTGTTTTTCTCAGAGTCACCAGTTGATTGTTAACAGCGTAGCGGAGAGTTTTTCCACCATTTTCCAGACACCCGGTATATATAATTTCGAGTACCATAACCTGTTACGGATAATAAATTAATACACATTTGTTACTTTAAAACCAACTTTACTTGTTCTGCCTGAAGACGAAAACGTAGGCTCTCGAAACATGTTCCGTTACTAATAAACTTTTTTTCAAATTTTAAGCTCCATTTTGTGAAATAGGATCGCTAAAAATTGTTGAATTTTATTTCTACTTAAAATATACATATTTTTTTTGGCATTCTAAAAATCGGTGATCTATTTAGTTCTCAAGTGCCAAAATTTAGATATTAAAATTTTTTGCAATGTTACAAATACTTACAAAATCCGAGTCGAAACACATACACCACGATCAAAAACATTTTGATTTAGAGTTGGCCTTACGAGCCTCCGCATTTCAGACCACTGATATCGTTGACAAAAATTACAGAATTGAAATGACATTTAACTAGGGCAAAAATTTATTTTATGTATTTGTGGTGGTCAAAGGGACGTTATCCTATTATTTTTCATCGTGAGTTTGCATTGAGGCATTTAAAGCGATACAGGTGTGTCAATATGTCGAAGATAACTCAAATTAATTTATGGATTAAACCTTATTCTTCAAGAAGCAACTGTGTTTTGTCGCGTCTGCTCTAAACCGGTATTTATTTTTACATCTGTGGACGTAGTAGGTACACAGTTTTTCTATTTACAAATACATACTTTAGAATCACTTTTTGTTCAATATTTCGAAAAATATTTAAAAATAAATTGTTACCAAAATAGTAATTAAATAGTCGATTACTACTATCTTGCGATTTGTTCTGTTTGTATTTAATTTTTAGTATAAGAATATTAATATTTATGATTTATGTATTTTTTGTAATAAAACGGAAACCTGTTTTTGTAATTTGTAAATCAATTTAGTTCACTTATTAAGCTTTTTTTTTAATTGTTGGAGCATATGCAAATGCATATCTCTGCATATATTAAGAAAGTTACTGCATATTTCCATAAATTTCGTGCATATCATATGATCATATTTCCCAAAATTTTGCTGCATATTTTCCGCTCTCTAGTGATTACGGTAGATCAAATTCAAAATTATTCAGGCGGTATTAAAATCGTACTCGTTTCGGCCCACTTGTCATTGTCAGATGCTTAATGAAAAATGGCCGAGGCGCCGGCGTGTCTACATGCTGATTTATTCCTTCACATAATTTCATTATTTTGTGGAAACAGTTAAGAGAGACGTAATAAAAAGCGGCTTTTAATATTAATCAAAGAAATAGGCGATATGACACCGCTAATTTTATCAAAGGCCAAAGTCTTTGACTGCACGAAAACTAATTAAAACACGAATGGAATCTCCAAGCAGAAATTAATTGATATTGTTTCTGTGTGCACTTATCGAGCCAGACTTATTCTTGAGTTGGAACAAAAAAACGTTAAGCGTACCCAAACGCGAATCCAACTCTTGCAAACTTTCTGATTCTTCTTTAAATGTCTCAAGGCCGTCGTAAACCACGCAGCTGTCACCTACGTTCAGCAAATTGCGACAAGATGGCCCCCAAATCCTCCACAGATCCTGCGAGACCCACGCCAGCCTTGGCATTTTAAAGAACGCATATTAAATGATGAGGCTTAGTCGTGACGGGCGGCTGTCAACCCAAAGAACTAGTCGCTTGAGGAAAAATTGAGAAAGTCAGAGAATTAAACACAATTGATGATGCCGGAAAAAAGTTGACGCGTTTCATATTTAATTCAAATGTAGTTGTAATTTCGCCTGAATAAACTATTATTATAATAAAACGTGCGTTCCCATGCGCGTTTTCCGGCACCACTTAATTTCCGAACCCGTCCACTTACTCAAAACCCGAAACTCAAAACTGGGCTGTGCAGCCAAAATCCCGTCTAATTCCCCAGCGAAAGCCCTCGTTTCCGTTCTCGTTACCTCTGCGTACTTTACGGCCTCGCGACGCTTAATTCCGGTTCATTTTCATTAAGCAATACGAAAATTCCTCTCCACTTACATTAACACATTGCGGCCTCTACCCTCCCGTATAAATTTCCACGTGCACGCAGAGGTACACCCGGCCATAAATTTTTGAGCAGGACCTCGGCCGATATTAAGCGCGTGATTTAAGCCCGCACCTCTTCCCGAAAGCG